CGTTCTGCATCTCTCAGCAAGAAAAACATGACAAAGCCTGCTTGTTTCTTCTCACAGGTGCAGTACCTGGTAGATAAGGGAGCAATGATTGAGCACGTTGACCACAGCGGCATGCGGCCACTGGACAGAGCCATTGGGTGTCGTAATACATCAGTGGTGATGATGCTCCTGAGGAAAGGAGCTAAGCTAGGTTAGTAAACCTGTCACATCCTGGAGGGAAAGAACCGTCTGCTACACGGCAGTTGTTGTCACTTCTGTAAAGTAGATTGAATAAGTAGTTCTTGCAGCACAGACTACTTTGGTTTGTGGGTGCCAGCTCAAGTAACAGGTATCTTTCCTTTTTTTATAGATATTCCCTCGAGACTCACTTCAGTAGTGAGGAAACAGTAGTAGTCCTATTCTGCTCCTTTCATGTGCGTTAAGAAGCCCTGAAGAGTTAATCTTACATGGTTACTCTATCTTAATAATGTTTATGCTATTAGTGATCCTTAGTTCTGGCAGTATTACTGATTTGGGTGAAGAAGTTTTACATTTAAGTAACATTATGTTAATAAATTTTAGAATTGGACATAAATTGTACATTTAGAATTGTACGTACATTGTAGAATTGCAACCTGAATCATGTAATATAGGCAGGTATATATTGCAGCTGTCAACATAATGACTGCTGAATCTGTTGTACCTTTAAATCATAACGTCTGTTTATTTGGTTCCTGAGTATGATTGAACACAGATCCCTCTGCAGTCTTAAGCTTCACAATGGACTTTCATACTGTCCTTTAGACCACAGGAAAAAAAGAATCGCGCCGGTTAGTATCTGACTGCTAGCTGTGTGGGATGGTATGGGACAGGTATACAAATGTGTGTTAAATATATGCATGCGTTGCTAATAATTGTAGTTGTTTCATGTAGATGAAATACTCACTGAAAGCTTTCCAATGTGAATAGTTGTCAGAAACAATTTTTTTTCACTTTTGTCAGAGATTCTTACCATTTAACTTTCAGGAAATGCAGCATGGGCAATGGCCACCTCGAAACCAGATATTCTCCTTATTCTGCTGCAGAAACTGATGGAAGAAGGAAACATACTGTACAAAGTAGGTCAACTTTCTTTTTTCCTGATAGCAGTACTCTATAATTGGATTTCTGTTTGAAAGTAGATTGATGTTCTGTTATACTTTCTTTTCTATTCAGACAAGATGTGTACTTGCACATCCTTTCATGTTGGGTATGAGATCAGAAAACCTTGAGGATCCTGGGCAAGAATCATTTAAAACTAGCATGTAAAAAAAACCAAGCCAAAACACCATCCAGTGAATAAACAAATACGTTTTCTTTCAGTTGACCACATGCTCTGTGGACACTTGTCAGTTGTTTCTTAGGAGCAGCTCAGAATGTGAGCACCTTGTTGAATTCAGTAACATCAGGGCTTTTCTTCAGTGTTCTTTTGCACACTGTTTAAATACTGAACAAGGAGAGTGACGGATCTTTTGATGCATTCTTTTTACTAGGCATGGTATTTTGCTCAGAAGAGTGGAACTGCTTTTGTAAACTGTTCCAATGCAGAGCTGAGTGAACTATGTGGGCATTATTGAGAATCTGTTGTAGCCACAGGGTTTATAAATTGCATGGTTGTTTTTTAATAGGGGCCCTCAAATATCTGCCATTTTACCTCTGATTTCTGATGGCTTTGCATAATGGAGGAGAGGCTCCCTTCAGACTTTGCTATCACAAATCAGGGTGAGCCTACTTAAAGTCCTCTGGACTCTGTGCAGACATCTTATGAATAATTTATCAAGCTCATCAATCCTGATATGAGTTTAGAACTTTATATCCAAGCAGGTACCGTCAAGGGTGGGACATCATTCAGGCCTAAAGGGTATCAGAGTTCATGCTACAAAGGCAATTCCAAGGCCTTTCCTGCACCTCACTAACACAGCAGTGCGTTCAGTGTGTCTCGCGGGTTCTGCAGGGAGAACCCACAGCATCACAGCACCAGCCCGTTCTGCTTCAGGCTCTCAGGTCACTCAGCAGGTTGGACCCTGCTTAGATTCTGAGACCAGGTCGGCACAGCAGGGTTGGTAGCAGCGTGCTTTGCAGTTTGTAACAAGAAGCTGAATTTCCTGCTGGTATTTTTTCAGACCACTTAATTTTATTACAGCGATTTGAATGACTTGCTAGAGCTAAGGTGTGTCATGTAGCTTATGAAACTTTTTCAAACACTGCTTCATTCTTTTGCCAAAGAGTTTTGAATGGAAGGCTGCAGCATGTCTGAGCGTGTGATGGGGTTCGTTGTGCTTCGGCCTGGTTCTGTGACTAAATGGGGCAGGAGGACCCATGGGCCCAAGCCCCGAGATGGGCCAAGAAACAAAACAGTGGTAACAAGCTAAGGGAGAAAACTAATTTACTAAATACGATAGTGGAATGTGAGATAACACAGTATAATGCAATATATTTGGAATTGAAGCTAGTAAATTAGAAAAAATGAGTGTCCAAAACAGAAGGCGTTACTGTAAGGCTGAAAGTGAGACGGCCAGGGAGAGCAGACGAGCAGAAAAAGAAGGGGATGTGACTCCCAAGCAGTTTTATCTTTCCCTCTGAATGGAAACAAAACAGTGAAGTCTTCTGGGATATGCAGTTCATTCTTTCTTTTCTGAGACAGGGAAAACAGAACTGTCAACAATTCACGGAACTGCAGCATTGAGTCTTTACTCCCAATGCACTACATGATATTGTGATGTGGAATACAGATAACAAAAGTCATAAAACAATGGCAACATGCTTCCAGTGTGCAGCAATTACTTCTCAGCCTTTGTTAACAAGTGGGAGGCCAATCCTTTACTGCATTTATGTTCCTACATTCAGCCCTCCACCTAATACTCATGGCTGAGACACTGAAGTGAAGCTGGAGTAGCTGGGCTGCAGGTTTGAGTGCTGCGCCAGTTCCTTCTTGCTCTCCTCATCCATCCCTTATTCTGTGGTAGCACCACCTGGTGAAGGGTAACCATTCCTGATTAAGGATATACTCCATTAGAAATGTCTTAGAGCTTTAATAAACTGTATCATCAGATATTTGACTGCTCTCCTTAATAAATAAGTGAAATTAAGAATTGTATGGTGTGAAACACATTCTTGAAGAATTGTTCTGGTACAAGAAGTGTGTATTACTGTGCGTAGCGTCCTGGTGAAATACTATTAAAAATACTGAGTTGAGAAAGAAACATAAACTCTAATTACCTCTTAAGTTCCCTTACGGTACCTGTGTGTAAGTGCAACATATATACATTACAAATATATATTTCTCTGTGAAGAGTACATGTTGGTAGATTTCAAATATGAATGTGGTTGCACTGTGACAGCGCTGTAATAATACAGGTTTCTGAAAAAGCTTCTTATTCCCTATTTTGTAGAAAGGCAAGTTGAAAGAAGCAGCACAGCGCTATCAGTATGCCTTGAGGAAGTTTCCGAGGGAAGGATTTGGAGAAGAAATGAAAGCATTCAATGAGATGAGAGTTTCATTGTACTTAAATTTATCACAGTGTCGCCGAAAAACAAATGTAAGCTCTTGTTTTTAATCTATTGCTTCTCTATCACTGGGAATCTTAGACACCTATTCTACCCCACTGCTGATGGCTTCTGTTACATCTTGCTGCTGCTGTGCTCTCGTGACTCTCCATCACTATGGTGAGCTCCAAAGGCAGAAGAGGGGAGGATGTGCAGATTCCTCCAAGGCGTATGGACGCAACTGAGTCTTAGGATTTCTCGCTTAGCAAACACTGGTACACTGTCCAAACATTGGACGTGGTTGGTTTTGGTGGTTTTTTTGCTGTTTTAGAATTCCTTTCACTGTGCTGTTCTGGGGCTTAGTTGTGTGAACAAATGGGGACAGTTCTCCAGATAAGGGGAGAACTATTGCAGCTGTTATGTTACCATTATTTTGGAATAACAAACTGCTGGCCGTTGTTGGTACTTTTAAAGGACTACATGGAAAATTCTGCTGCCACCAGCATTTATTGTGAAGTGCCTGCTTATACAGCTTGTTGGTATGTGTTGGTTGTTCCTTTTGTAGCTTCAGCAGTGTATCAGATGGCAGCGAAGAACCTGAATGACCATTAGAGCTAAACCTTGCAATTCTATGAATACACCTCATACAATTCCTTTTTTTCAGGCACGAACTTCTTAATTCCCAAGTCTTCCATGTTGTTCATGGCATCTATTTCAATCTGAAGAACATTTAAACATGGATGTTGAGGATTTATCTTGGCCATTCTAGCACTGCTGTGCAAGTGCCATTCCTTTACTTTCGCTGTTAGAACTGCAGTCTCCAGCCGCCTCCTGGATCAGACTCTGTTTTTCAGTAGCCTCACACTAACAGCTGGAAGTGACTCTGTGATCAGTGCGAGAGGGAGGAAAGGAGGAGATTCTTTCTATTTACTCTCATGTGTTGTTTTGTGGTTTTGATTTTTCTTGATAAGCTTTTCCTTTGCTGTGCATGGGTGTTTTAAAAATTAGACTGGCTTCATCTTTCCAGGGCCATCATTGCCCCATTTCAGTCGTGCTTTGTAAATTCCAGCTTTGGGTTTAATTGTATTTGCTAAACTGTTCTTTTTTGTTCTTGTGAAATGAAGACCAAATACATTAGATCTACTGGATCTACTGTAGGTTTTCTTTAGAATTCACACACACCTCCTCCAAGAAAGCTCTGGACTAATACAACTCCTTTAATGTCTTTTTTTCTTTTTCCTCTAAGTCTTTATTCTTTCTTTTTTCACAGTGCACTTCAAAGTGTTTTTATCTGAGGGGATCCCTTTCCTTGCTCAACATGCAGTCTCTTGTAGCAGTTTAATGCATGTGCATTGACAATAACTGTATAACACTGCATCTTAAATAGAGTCAGTTTCTGTTAGACTTCACAGCAAGTGCTACCAAGATACGGTCTGCTCCCAGTGTCACTTTCTGTACTGGACAAGCTATCTGCACTTTCTGAAGCACTACCATGATTGAAGCACACAAGGCTCTCTTTTATTGTCAGTGTATAATGAGTACATTTGTTTAAATAATTAGGATTTTGGTATGGCTGAAGAGTTCGCTACCAAAGCATTGGATTTGAAGCCCAAGTCTTACGAAGCCTATTATGCTCGAGCAAGAGCAAAAAGGAACAGCAGGTACTGTTTGATTCTGTTCGTAAGTCCACATTCATTTTTTTTTAACTTTGTAATGCTTTCTGTGATTGCTTTTCTTTTCTGTTTTTTCTTTTCTTTTTGTGGTTGGAATTTAGAAAGAAAAATATTTTTTTGGTACAGTTTCCGTATTATTAGGTTTCACCATCAGTCAAAACAAACCAAGCCCAAAAAGCAATATAAATACCCATTCAGGTAATTATTAGCCCAGAAAGTAGATAGAAGTAAACTGATACGAAGTGAGTTCCTTTAAATGTAAGAGTGAGTAAGGAGAGGTATTCTACAGAATCATAGACCCATAGTATTGTTGGGATGGAAGGAATGCCAAAGCCCCCCCTGCTCCACCCCTGCCACGGGCTGACTGCCCCCCAGCACCCCATCCATGGCCTTGGGCACCTCTGGGCATGAAGCACCCACACTGCTTGTAGCACTGGTGCCAGCCCAAAGCAGAATAAGAAATTGACAGGGAGCAGAGTTTAGCTGGTGACCTCCTGTGAAGGTGAAGGGCTCGTGAGACAGTGAGACAGTGCTTCAGTTCCTAGTTGATTTCTGCTGCCTTCCTGATGACTCTTGGGATGCAAGAGGGGAAAGACTTAGGACTAGGTCTGTGCTTCCACTGCAGAACTTCCTGGGTTGGAGACTATACAGTTCTTATCTTTTCACCACACCTACAGGAGATGACAGATCAGAACATCTCTTTGAAAGTGGTGGAGGTGGATATTACTGCTCAATAAGCAGTGCTGAAACTCAAACTTGTCCCAGGTTTTTATTAATGAATTCTGGGTCTTCTTCATACAGAAAGCTACTTGCTGCTCTTGCTGACTTACATGAAGCCACAAAGCTGTGTCCTAGCAATCAGGAAATAAAACGTCTTCTGGCTCGAGTAGAAGAGGAGTGTAAGCAGTTCCAGAGAACACAACAACAGAAGCATCAGTGCCCACAGTCAGGACAGCAAATTAATAACTCTGATAATGAGGAGGAGGATGTTATTCAAGGTGTGAATGAGAACTTCCATCTCCAAGAAAAAGAGGAAGAACTACCGCACCCTGATGAATCTGTTTCCTCTCCACAAAGGCTGCAGCACTCCTTAGCTGCTTCATCATACGCTAGAAACATTCAAGACAGTGTTCAGCAGAAAGTGAGACCTGTGTCCCCTCAAGGCAGAACAGGCAATAAATATCTAAGAGAGCCAGGCTTGATCATGCAGCCAACAAAGCAAGCACAGATTGTAAAAACTAATCAGCACCTGAGCTCCATCCAGCCTGGATCAAAACTGGGAAGTAATCAATGTAATACAAAGACACAATCGCCTTTTCAGCATCTTTCTCAAAGTCCTGTGCCAGCTCAACACTCTAAAATTCAGCATTTGGATGGGACAAGCACATTTTCTGCTGGAAGTGCTTCCACAGGTGCTACTTCTGAGCTGTACAATGAGAAGTTCACATCCAGTCAGTGTTCCCATTCACAGCACTCTTTTGCAAAGAAATCCAAAACCACTGACCCATCACCAGCCCCATTTCAAATGAATTTCAGTGAAGCAAGACAGCAAACCCCTGTACCCAGCACTGTCTCTTCTAGTTCTCCATCTAGCAGTATGATTCTTGCCAGCTCAACCAGCAGCTTAACTTCAGTGAGTAGCTTTGCAGATGGCATTAAGGGGCTGGGGCCAGACGTTCGAATCAAGGAGAACAAAGTTAATCAAGTTCATGGTACTGCTGCTGAACACAGACCTCGCAATACGCCATTTATGGGAATCATGGATAAGACTGCCAGGTTTCAGCAGCAAAATCAGTCCAGTCGCTCTTGGCATTCTCAGACCTCGGATGGATTATCAGCAAATGTTTCTTCTGGGAGCGTTCAGTCTTCTAATTTTGAGCAGTTTTCAGTCAAACACTCTCAAACTAAAACTTCCTCTGCTGTTACTGTCCCAGGAGAGAGCAACCAGAATGGTATGCAAGCTAAAGCACACGAGGAGCTGAAGTGTCAAACAGTGGCCTACTGTCAAGATAATAGAGCACCAAAACAGGTTCTGCATTTATACCAAGATGCGCCATCAAAGCAACACTCTCACATCAGTAAGGAAGGTCACTTAAGCCATGTCACCTCTGCAAAACCCAAGCGATCATTTATCGAATCAAATGTGTAAATATTATTTTGTACATTACGTAGTTGTAGAACTTTGCTTCCAACATCACGGGGGGATCCCACCACAGTGGGATGGCGGCTGGCTGCTGGTGGGCGCTCAGCCCATGCTGACCAGTGCTTTGTGGGGTGCGACCACTTCAAGCTGTTCATACTGACACAGTAACTGGAAAAGCCAATTTGTGTAGGAACAGTCTATTACCATCAATCAGTCAATCAATCCGACAAACTAGGACCTCAAGTAGCAAAATTCTTGCCGTGACATTTTACCCCCAAAAAAGAAAATATATATACATATATATATATATATATATATATATATATTTAGCTTCTCCATAGGGCTTTAATCTTTGCTTTTGGTTGCATTGCATCTCATCACTTACACAATAATTGTGCCTCTATTATGCTTAAGTGCTTACTTCAAAGAACAGTGTTACAAAAATAGATGCTGCGTACTCTTCAGATCTGTATATGGTTTTTTTTAAATCAAAGATAATATTTTATCACTTTTCCAGTGGGCTCTACTTTGAGGTGCATGATGTACATTTAGGAAGCAAAATTTGTGTATGAGTAAACTCAAAGCAGTCGTGCTTTGAGATGTAAATATAACTATTTTTAGTAACAAGTAAAATAAACAGTAACATCTGCATGTGTATTGAAAGGCTTTGACCATATTGGTTATTGCACTGAGTAACACAGCATTACAGCATGTTAACGATAATCGCACTTTATATAGTTACCTGATCACCTTTGGGTGCTATTTTAAAGCAAAATTCTATATTGGCTGTTTATTATTAAAAAAGGTACAGCAGTGAAATGCTTAGTAAGTATTTTGATAGGAAACCCAAGAAATGAAACGCAGGTGAAAGTTGGAAGAAAAGCGTATGTGCAGTTACTTTGTAGGATGAAGTTGTGGAGATTTTTCAGAGGAAATAAGGTTTATAGAGGCAAGAATACTTGGAAACTAAAGAGGTGCAGTGAGACTTCTGGCTGCCAGTGGGCGGGAGTGGGCAACCTGAGGCTGTCACTTCTCAGGTCTCGTGTGTTGTACAGTGGTGCATTACCTTGTAAACAGCTGTACGTGGTTTTATAAATTCTTTCCTGAGTTCACATTATTATGCTTTTGCTTATTTATTGCATACTATTTCTTTGGTATTTTGTACAAGTTTATTATTCTGGTCCTGTAGTTCTATTTTTGCACAGCTACTGTATTTTTTTCCATACAAAATTAAAGTTATGATTACAGCTGTGTGAGATGCAGTCACTGACAGCTCAGGAAGAATTCTCTCCCAGCTTCTCCAAATGCATGTTCATTCATAGGGAGCAGGGAAATACGCTTTTTGCAATTAAAAAATAGAAATAAAATACAAAGTCTGTGCTTTGAGACTCACATTGCAAAATGAAGACTTGAAAACTCATAAATTTGAGGAAAATTTTAAGAAAAGTTATTTGAAAAATGCTGAGTCCTGGTGTTTGATTTCTTGAAGAGAAATACCACTGAGTAAAAGTAAAATAACTTAAAAAGCATTCAGTAATTTTTTAGGAGCTTCCAACAGTGAAAATGCTCTTTTAGCATTAAAAGTGCATTAAAAGTGACAGCCAGGAAAGAAGAGAACTTCTTTAATTGCAGGTGTTTCTGACACCAATATCTCCTCTAGCCTACAATTACGTACATTTACATTTACAACATTTACCTTCATTTTAGTAAACAACTTCAAAACGACGTGGTTTCACCACAGTTCTGCTGAGTCTCCAGCCAACGGCCAATGGCCATTTTCAGTGTCCTGTTGGGTGTAAGCACAAGACTGGGAAGAGGGAGATTCGTCATGGGACTAGAGCGTCTTTTATTGCTGATCCAATTTTCTATTGCCTCCTTTTCATAGGAATACCCATCTGCAAAGAAGCCATCATCAAAAGCTTGCATTACAGACGATAGGGTGCTGGTACACAGTGTATATTTTACATATGTAAGAGGTAGAAGGGAATCAGTATTTCCAGATAAGAGAATTGAGATGTAGAAGAATTATGTAGTTGAATGCATTACAGTAACAGTTCATACAGCAGTACTGAGATAAAATTCAGTTCCTGCAGTAAACAATGAGGTGGAAATGACACAGGACACATGAAATTGTTCAGTCTCTTTTGAGCCAACCTTTGTCTTGCCTGGGCTTGATTTAGTAAGAACTGTTGTGGGCCACATATATGTAAGTAAGTTGCTCCAAAAGTAATGCCTCCTACTTATTCCTATGCAAACTACAACAGCTATTAGGAGCACAACAGCACTACTTGCTAGGGCAAATTCTCAGCTACAAAAACACCATTTTTCAACATAGTCACCACCTTTAGCTGTGCATTTTTGCCAGCAATGAACAAGTATCTGCATGCCATGCTCATAAGTATCTGGGCCAGCCGAGGTGACCCGCAGTCACCACAGCTGAAATGCACCACCCACCGCCTCCCTGTGCTCACAAACACTGCTGAATGACAATGGGTGCCACTTTTTTCACCTGAAGGAATTCAATGACAGCTTTGTTTCATCTGCACTTCCATGTCAGACACCATTTGACTCCCTGTACTGCCATCTGTCATGGCAACAACATGCAATGGAATACTGGTGGGAAGGTTCAACCTCTACTGCCATCACACTGACACTCACCTCTTATGGGCCAACAAAACAAAACAGGAGGTGCTGCTTTGTAAAACATACATTATTGCTATTATATGAGTAAGAGAACATTTTAATTGTAATTTTTTTTCTTAAAGCATTAAAAGAGAGGAACAAAGCCACCAAATCAGTGGGATATTTGACCTTCTGTACAACCCTTAAGTGCCATATATACAGCTGTGTAAACTTAGTAATGAGCTTGTGTTTCAGCTGTTGTTTCCCTTGTGCACAATTCCATTGTGTATTCACAGAGACAACTCTCTAATTAGGATTTAAATATATACTTGCAGAGGCACAAAAAGAAAAGAGCATTAAAAAAAATTTTATATGGTTCTGTCAATAAAGCAGACACTAAAGGAATTGCACAATACTGTATTTTTCTCTGTCACAGACACAGTTTGGCCAAACATTTACCACAGTTCTGTTCTCTTGCAATAGCTACTTAGATTAATTTATCCTATTCACTGTAGAAAGACATGGCCAATTTTTGTGTTCCCGTGCCCATCTTTAAGCCATTCTCGTTATTCAGCATTGCTCAAAGTCATACCTGCTGCAATGACAGGATCCTTCATGAGCTCCCGAGTTATAGGGCATAAGAATTCATCAGGAACAGCAATGGAAACAGAGACTGCTTTTATCTTCAGCTCTTTGATCTTCTGGAGGATTTTGCTGCGCAGGCCAAGAGACTCTGAAAAGTTATTGGAATACAGAGCAAAAAACACCATTATGTGAGGCAGAGAGGTTGTTCTTGCATTCACTGCCATGCCAGAGGAGACACAGCTCAATCCTCCCATCCCCACCCAATATTGAGAAGTCCGCAGACCCCTGGCCAGTGCATGCCAATCCCAATGGGTAGCAGCAGTTCTGTGGGGTAATGAAAACAAATGGCAAAACAAATGCAAGTGCAGTGTTGCTGCAAAGCAACATTTGGGCAGAACTGCATTTTCAGTTGATGCATAGTAGCATCACATGCACTGCTGCACGTGCAAAGCTAACTGTAGCTAAAATTGTGATGGAGAGAGAGGATCAGGAGTGTTTCTCCCTTTAAGCTGGATTATAAACATAAAAATGCAATGGTATAAGAGTGCACAAATGTTTCCACCACCCCCTCACAAGATCAGCCATGCCAAAGTATGTTTGTATTCCATGCCCGCAAATTGTACTTCTCTGCTGCACGCTCCTGCTTCATGAAAGAGAAGATTTTAGACCTGTAGCATCTCAGTGCCTCTGCTTACACAAAATGAATTGCTGAATTCTGTCTTTTGTTTTATGAATGCCTGGCACTGACTTAGTTACAACAAAATAGCACAACTACTACTACCTTAAATTTGGATTCACAAATGGGCTTTAGACCCAGAATAGAGGGGGGACAATCACCTCCCTCACCCTGCTGGCCTCCCCTCTTCTGCTGGAACTCAGGATAGCACTGGCCCTGTGGGCTGTGAGCACACTCTGTTGTCTCACGTTCAGTTTTTCATCAAGCAGCCCCCTTCATTCCTTTCCAGCAGGGCTACTTTCAAGGAGTTCTCCCAGTCTGTATACATATCTGTGATTATCTCAACCTAAATGCAAAACCTTGCACTTTGCTTTGTTGAACCTCATCAGGTTCATAAGAGCCTCCCTTAGGAGCCAGGGATACATGTCACCCAGCCCCAAGGATGTGAACACAATCAGTCTTGTGTGCCATCCTTACAGTGGAGCAGAATTTTTTCCCCCAGTTCCCACCTGGAGATTCAGATTCAGGCATGTGAGAATCCTGGCTGCCAGTGAAGACTGAGGCAAAGCACTCACTAACTACCTAGTTTCTATAAAAAAAGATTAACTAATGACATATGTAAGGATTAAGATACTGTAAAGATTGAAATACAGTACTGAAATATAATAAAAAGCTCATGCTTATTATTAAGGAAGATTTTGCATGGCAATATTGTAAAGATCTGTGGGATCAGACTGGGAACAAGAAAAATTAAGAATATAACCAAAGAAAAGAAAGGTAATAAGGAACAAAATTCTGTAGTTGTAACTACATTTTTTGAGGGCATCCTCTACAATCTTTATTACAAGAGCAACTTTTCCTAGATCTTGCTGATGTAGCCAAATTCTTGCATTCAGTTTGCACTTTCAATTAACAACCTCCTGATTAAATCTCTAGTCAGGAATTAAGTGATTGTCCATAAAAAAGCCTTTGATAACTGTCAGTAGCGCAGCTCCCACTGCACACCATTTCCACACAACCCTCCAGTGAGCTTGATGAGTCTCAGCTGGTGATTGCTGCAATGGTTCTAGGCTACTCCAAAATGAGGGAACATGTATGCAGGAACACAGAGCTATGAGTCTTTCATCGGTGGCAATGCCTGACAGATTTGCAGCAATTCTGTTGATTTCTGTACTTCACAAAGCTGACTGACACACTGATACTGAGCTGACAGATACCAAGACCGCAGATGTGCACACATGCAAAACAATTAAGAAAAAGGAGGGGAGCACTCTGCCTACAGGAAAGCATGCTAACTTCATAAAATAGAAATATAGTTATAGAAGGGTTTCTTGACTCATTTGACTGTTGTTATACTCAGTCTCAGGTGTAAATTAGTGCTGATGTGTTTGCCAAAACATCTAGCCACAGAGAACAGAGAACATTCTGAAAGCTCTGCAGTAGTCCACCACAGAGAAGTTTCTTTTATCAGAATTAAGGAAGTGAGTGGTAACAATGCCACAGCCTAGGAGTCCTTCCAAAACGTAACTTCAGTTTTCAATAAAGTGACAGGTCAACATTAAGCAGAAGGATGCCTGACGAATTGCAAAGTGTCTGAGATTGGTAAGGTTTGCTTGAGCATTACTGACATCAAATGCTTTATCTACAAATAAGTATAAAATAAAACATATCCTGTATTTTTCTACTATGCTAACTGTACTCTGAAGTGTACTCACTGCTAAATTTAAGGTAGCTCACCATATGACAAACGTGACGCTTTTTATAAACTGACAGGAAAAAACTGGAGAACCCCATTTACCAAGTCAGAATCAGTAAGTCTACATGAAAGGTGAAATTACTTTCCCACAGCTTAATGACCCAAAATCTAAAAAAGGAAAACAGAACCGAAAGCAGGTAAGACCACTTATCAACATGGCATTGCCAGAGAATGAGCAATTTTACGTTTCTAGCTATAAGAAAACAAACAGTACTTGGGATAATGTGACATTAGTTTTGTTTGTTTCAGTTACCAACAGTAGTGATTAAAAATGCATTTCAGAAAAACACAACCATGCATGAAACTTCTCACTTTCATCCCAACATCTTACATAAACATAAAGGACTACAAACTGCTTGGATTTCTATCTTCTTACCAATTTTTAATTCATTAGTCAGACTTTCTCTTGTAAGATTCAGGAGTTCTTTGCCATCGATGTTATTTGCTTTGAAAAGCCCAACAAGTTCTGTGAAACCCTGTGCACAAAGCCAGGCTGAAACTTCATCCTCTGACCAGTTCTCAGCAGTTCTAATCTTAGAGTTATTTCCTATAGCGTTTCCTTTGGAAAGGAAAGAGAAAAGTAAGGTAAACAATACAATGAAAAACAAAAAAAAAACCAAACCCAATCAGTAAGAACTATGGAATTAATGAGCATTTTCCAAATGCTCTCACTATTCCGCATTTCCTAACATCAGATAAAAGCAATACTCATTAAACACTCCTTCATAGGAGGACAGTCATTTGGGTTTGTCTTTATTGACTCATTTTCAAAGTTCAGAGGAATTTAACCTCACAAGTGCTGACGTCTGTCAAAACTGAACAAGAGATTGAGAAGTGTCAGCAGACACTAAAACTAAGTACCATATCTCCTTGTAAAAGCACACCAAATTCCAGACTGAATTCTTGAGCTTTGAACAAAGATCCATTTATTTTTACTCCACATACTTAAGGTACTCCTTAAGTTTTTCCTTCTGCAGTGACTGGCCAGTTGTATTTCTTGCTGACAATTATGTTTTCAATTAGCATATTTTCTTTTTAAATTACTGCCAAATATACATCTTTGAAAAGTCTTTCAGTGCTCTGGGAATTAACACTCGCATCCTAAATGCTACACAGAAAGTAAGAAATGGAAAACACCAGAAAAGAAAGAAAGATAATATTCTTCTAATCTTTAAGTTGTTTGTTGTTTGATAACAGAGAACGCCTGTTGCATAACAAAAGGCTAAAAATACTTCAAACACTGACCTGCACAGGGATGCTTACTGTCCAGCTGCCATAGGTGCACAGCTTTATCCATTGAACCCGTGGCAAGTAAGAGACTGCGTGGTGCAAAGGCACAAGCTGTGACATACCTACAGACGTGGAAATTGACATGGCATTGAATGGATTTCTTTTATTTATTAATAGTAAGGTATCTATCATACTGAATTCATACCTGGTATGCTGAGACAAAGTATGAAGGATATTGCCAGTATTCTGTAAAAAAAAAAGAACATTTGTGACTTTATTTCAAGAATGAAACACATTCACTCATCTGTGCACATACTTTCAAACGTAAGGAATACTATTTCTTCTTTGAATATGACAGAAGTCACCTTCAGAGTAGGCATATGACCTTGCCTAAGCCAATGGGCAGCAAAGTCAGATATGCATCTTGGCTTTCCTATGTGAGGTTCTCTATTCAGCCCACTGGCAGAAGGCTCCCCTTCACTGTAATAATAGTAGAAATATCAGCTGAATTAATTGTACCCGTATTGGCTGATTGTTCCTGTGGATAACAGCATTTCTTCTACAAATCCAGGATTGAAAATGACCTGAAACAATAACTGAAATTCAAGCAGACTTTGTACTACAACCTTTAATAATTTACTGGGGATTACATCAGAGGTTTGTGTATTTCTATACTGGATGCTACTAAAAACAAATCCCCGAATTTCCAGTTTTAACATATGATTTGGGAGACTTTCCTCATGACTAAAGGTAGCATTTCTTTGACAGGCACAGACAGAACTAAAAGATGAAGAGCAAAGTTATTCCAAGACAGTAATTCATAGTTTTCTTCTACTACTGGGCATGAGGAAAGCATCCTATTTTAGGCCAAAATGTCTCTCTCCCATGAAGATTTATTGTCTTAACCTCGCTCAGCCTTAAAAACGGCAAAAGAACTTCTAGAAAATTTATTGCACCTTGTGTTAAAAATCTCAGGCTAAAAATCTGACCAACAGCACTAAGAGACAGTGATGCTGCAGCTGCCTGCAGTTTCGTTCCCTTGATGTGCCATTCCTCCCGGGGATCTAAGCATCGAACTACTGATACAACTGGGCCCAAACTGTGAAGGCATCAGGTTAGCCATTTTGATGAAAAACATGCAACCTTCACTGAAAATCTGTATCAGTACAGCAGCACATGCAGAAAAGCTTAGAATTTGTTCATCTGTCATTTTCAGCAAAATCATTATTCTGAATATGATAAAGCTGTAAAGGTAAATACCACTGTTAGGTGAACCCCAAAGAATATAATAACAGTATTACACAAAACACCTAAAGAGGATGCTTTTGAAGAAAGGTCATCGTATGTAATGTAATTTTTGTCTTGAATTATTTATTATGCTTCCATTTAATTATTTAATACGCTTCTAATTAAATAATATGCTGTATATACAATTACTAAAGGATTTCTGTGATCACTGTCCCTCCTTTTACACCAATGCATACCATTGCTTTTGCTGTGAATGCTAGGATAAAATTTAAGATTAGCAAAACTCCTTCTACTTCAGTAAGAACATGCAAGCGTAGGATTCACTCAATGATACTGTCCTGCAGAGCAGCATAAAGAAATCAAATAACAAAACACTCAAATAAATGTCAATTAAGAATGAGAGAGATTGACTGGTTCTCAGGAGATATTTTACCTCAAGTTACACTTATTGAAGATTAAAAAATAAAAATAGGGGGTTTCATAGTTCTTATTTCATAATGTATTCTTTATCTTGACAGGATATTGCAGAAGTGCTAATAAAGACAGCAGCCAAATGAGTTATCATGAATAACCTTACTATACACCATACTTACAGTCTCATATATTATGACATACTTGTCCACAGACCTTTAAAAAAAAAACCACACATTGGCATTAAAATTATCCATAGAGGAATAAGGAATCAAACTATTTCTAATTAAAGCAGGAGGCAGAAAAAAAAAGGAAAAAAAAAAACGAAAAAAAAAAACCCCACAAAAATCCCAGCTTTCCCACAAGTAAAATGAACAAACAGAACTCTCAACAGAACTCAGCGTATCAGTGCTTTATGGAAAGCAAAGCTCCATGCATTTCTAGCTTAAGACAACGATACTCTTTATCATGTTGTATCATTATGTATCTACAGCACTTTTAAAACAATGTATAAAATCCCAAATTCTGCACTTCCATAATTCCTGATGCAGAGGGAGGTTTCATGCAAACTGGCCCCCAGTTCCACGGCTCCCCACAAGGTACAAATTGGTCTTTGCAAGAAGTATCTGTAATGTAGATATTTCTATGCACTATGCACAGAATCTGGCTATCCATTAACACTCTCAGCACTTCTACTGATTTCCAAAATCTTCTCATTTGCAAAGCAAACTAAAGGAAGCATTGCATTTCAATTAAAACTAAATGAAGGCCACATAAATGTCCAAAAAGAAACCCACCCAGAAATGATGTTCTTTACTACTTCTTAAGTTCTTTACAGAGCGGTGAGGTGCTGGAACAGCTGCCCAGAGAGGCTGTGATGCCCCGTCCATCCCTGGAGGTGTTCAAGGCCAGGTTGGATGGGGCCCTGGGCAGCCTGGGCTGCTGTGAAATGGGGAGGTTGGTGGCCCTGCTGTGGTGGGGGGTTGGAGCTTCATCATCCTTGAGGTCCCTTCCTACCCAACCATTCTGTGATTCTGTGATTCTGTGATGAATCTCATTGCAATACACAGAGAACAGAGCTTGCAAAATCCTAGATTTCAAACTCAATCCCCACCAGACACAAACAAAATGGAAAAACAATTCGCTGTTTCTGGAGGGCAGAGAGAACTATTCTGCAATTAAGGAAATATACTTTGAACTCTGCAACTCATTTAAACGTTCTGTTTCACAATACTTAAGTGTGGACAGGATTGCCATCTGAAATTTCAACAAGTATCAGATACTGCTTACCCTGAGACTAACATCTGCCCATCATAAGAAAATGCACAAGCCAGAACTGGGGCAGAATGTCCACTCAACGTGCATTTATATCTTAATTCACAACCTAAAAATACAAAAAGTAAATTATAGCAAATTGGATATATCTGATGAGGTACTAAGACAACATGGTTTTAGGGGCATAAAGCTGCCTCAAATACCTGACTCTGTGACATACTGTATAGAAAAAGGGACAAAGGATCACAGAGATAACATAATTTTAACTTCCGTGACCTCTTCACTTTGTATCAGCATCTGTCTAACAATATGTTAGATAATTGGGTATCTGAACGTTCCATATTCATTCTTACAGGCTTCTAAAATTCCCTGCTGATGATTCTGGCCACATGCCCTGTCTCTACATAGCAGTCACACACTGTCACGGTTTTAAGATTTTTGTTATTGGTGTTCCACACCATAACATGTAGAGCCCTGGGAGTTAAAGAGTTAATGCTGCAGTTCTGTGGATGATCCATATTTCCAGGTACCTGATTCTCAGAAGAGAGGAACAACTACACTTCCCAGAAGACTTCCACTGTTCTGTTTCCATTTTCCATTCAGAGGGAAAGATAAAACTGTCCACAAGACACAAGAGGTCCCCCCTTCTGTTCCTGCCCTCTCTGCGGTGTGAGCTCCCCAGCCACCTGCCTTCAGCATCAGTGAGGCCTTCGGTTTTGGACACTCTCATTTTATTTATTAGCCTCAGTTCCAATTAAATTGTATTCTATTGTATCATATTGTGTTATCTCGCATTCTGATATCATACTTAGTAAACGAGTTTTGTTTCCCTTAGCTCATTGCCACTGCTGTGTTTTTAGGCCCACCTCCCACCTCTCTGCCTTCTCCCTCTTCCACCTTCCCCCTCTCCAGGGCTCTGCGGGTCCCCCTGCCCCGTCAGTCACAGATCCAGGCCTCACTGACCCATAAACCATCGACACAGATCACACTGCAGTTGTAGCACAGCCACACTGTTTTGATTCCTCCAGTTCTTGCTCAAAAGGCCAAAATTACTGAAAGATGAAAGAAGACCCCTCCCTGGCCTAGCAGATCGAGAGGTTTCAAACTATCCGTGTGCCCAAAGGCCAAGACAGAAATAATACTCGTTACCAGAAGATGAAAATGATAATTAAAAGCAAACATTTATCATAATATTGAGAGGACTAGGGGAATTTTTTAAAATCTTTACTACTACTGTTAAACAGATCACTAAACAAAAAGCTACAGAGCCCAGTCTCACAAAACACAGCATGCCTCAGCTGCTTTCCAGCAAAACAATTAAAAGAACACTTCCAATTTGTGGTTAGTTTGGCTGCAAATCCATGACAGCAGTATAAATTTGATCTTAGATGTAAACTGTCACTAAAGAGTTAAAACACTTAAATATGAAGAAGCATCACCATACACACCTAAGGAGTCTGCAAACAAAATAAACCAGACTTTGATCTTATTATCTTGACCACAAGATGCCATCTGGAAGTATCCGGACGCATGGTCACCACCTGATAAAATTAAAAATATTAATGGGAAATTGATAAGCACAAAAACTAACAGCGTGTCAGTAAATTACATCACCACTCCTTCAGTACAATTTGGTAAATCTCCTTAATCTCAGAACTTTAAAAAGCATTGATAGAAAGAATTGCAGAAGTTCTAAAAATATCTGCAAGCAAGGACTGTTTATTACCATCATGTGATTTCCAGAACAAGTAGATGGTGCCCACAATTGCACAACTATGCTCATACTTGAAGTTCTTTGGACGATAAGAGTTTGATTCTTCTATCTGCCAAGAGTGGTGATATTGCCTTCTAACCACAGAACATGGTTATTTCCCCACTGTAAATGGTTATTTCCATTTCTTCAATAGTTTAAATTTTTAAATCATTCAAATCATTAAATCATCTCAAATTTTTAAATCATTTACACATGTTCAAAATTTGCAAATATGAAAAACTACTTTATTTCTACAGTTACAGTTAAGCATCTTATCAAATTACCCCCAAGGTTTCATCTCTTGTTTTTCTGTATTTTCACTTTCATCTGGTTACTGCAGTAACATTCTCATACACAGAGCTGTTTGCAGTTCACAGGAGCCCTCAGAGCTGCTGTCTGCTGTGGCAGATCTTAGAATTTGCCACCAATCTGCCAAATATCAAAGTGCCTCCTTCTCCTAGGATTCTGTGTAAGTTCTGGGTCTTACCAAGAGATGAGCAGCATGCCTTAGCTATTATGGTGTAAAAACACTTTTCTTGGCAAATCAGCCAGAATGAGAATTCTTTCACAGCACAAAAGATTTGGACATTTTACATGCTACCAACTCGTTAATGGGCATCACAGTGTTGTACATACCAAGCTCCTCAGAAGGGGAACACACTGTTTTCCATTAACGTTCACTAAATCTTTTAGCAAAAGCTGCTTTTACTATTACATCTTAGCAGGACTTGTGAGATTGAGGGCTCACCTCTCCCCAGAACTGCACCAAGTCTGGTGAGGGAAAACAGTCTACCTGCTCACTCATCACAGCTGAAGCATTCTGCTTATGTTTATAGTTCTTTGCACTGCTTTAATCCACTTCTCTTCCTTGGGGAAGCAGAGGAAGAAAGAGGTAAGTGGAAATGGTAATCAAGCACTACACCTTCTGACATTGCTCTTAGACCCCGGAGATAGGCCTCACAGATGCTGCCCAAACACATTCCAAAACCCTGGCAGCATAATTAGCTACTTCAAGCATCATCGACCTCTCCACTACTATTACTTAAGAGTATTCAGAATATGGAGAAATTTCAGCTCTTCCCCAAAAGAATACGAAAATAAGAGCTTGAGAGAAATGAAATGACTTTTTTTTTTCTTCCTTTCTTTTTTTTCCCATGTTCCTCCCCTGAAGAGTCAAGTAACTAACCAGAAACTGGATGTGAAGAAATATCACAGCAGGTAACGCCAAGATCGTGTGCTTTTTCATTACACAGACATCTCATTTTATCATCCCAAATAGTCAAATCACCGCATGATGATCCAGTGACAAAGAAATTTCCACACGGAGAAAAAGCACACGCCACCAAAGAACCATCTTTAACATTCCCAGATCTGAAAAATAAGAGTGTATGATAACTGGCTTTAGAAGTAATGTTGTGAAGAGTTGATCTCTCAAATGCAATCTGATAGAATATCCAAATCATACTAAGTTCTGTATTTTGGAACTTGGTAACAGAGGGCAGAGAAACTGTGCAATTGCAGTGAGATGCAAAACAAAAGCACACGTAGGATCCAGGACCTGCTCCTCCTTGAGGAAAAACATGAGGTGACACCCCATGGTAAAAGCATTTAAGTTGAGTGATAAGTTCCAAACTAAAGATACTTGCTAGGACTTACAGTTTGGAAGACAGAACACTGCTAAAATTCTACGGCAGGATACATTTTGAAAATAAAACAAACAAACAAAAAAAATCAGTAAAAACTGTTATCTGTATTTTAACTAAGTCAATACTTAAACACAAGATTTAGATGAGAGTTAAAATAATCGAGCTTCTTAAGTATGCACTGCTTAATGTTAAAGAAAAACAAAAACTCAGCACTTCTCCTCTTAATGACCTTTTGATAGTCCGAACTCTATTCCATTCTTTTTGTCACATAAACCAGAAGTGTAAGGTCTGCAAGCCTGTACACAGTACTGCATACCAGCAGAGCAGCACTTGTAACAGATTATATTTCCATAATAGTAAATAAGGCTGTGAAAAGGCATTTGGCACTCACCTGTACATTTTCATTGAGTGCATGTTCCAAAGAACAACACTTCCATCAGCTGCACCTGACACCAGGTAAGAGGACTCAGGAGAAAAGCGGCAGACTCTGACTGGGCTGCCAGTGGGCTGCTCCAGCACTGCCAGCATCCGACCATCACGAGCGTCCCAAACGATGGTAGTGCCATCCGTGGAACACGAAGCTAAAGTGTGTCCTGATGGAGAGAAGCAGCAGCAGTGGACAGCGTATGCATGACCTTTCAAAGGTGAGTATGGGAGCTCACTGAAGTCATTTAAAGAGTAAACACGAATTGATTTGTCCAAGGAACAAGTAGCCAAGCACGATGATGAGAAGGCACAGCAGTTGACATCATCACTATGATCTGTTAAAGTGCGAATTAATGTCGCCATTTAATCCACTTCCAAAACAAACAAACAAACAAACAAAAGAACTTGAAGTTAAAACAGTTGGACATGTCTCCTAATTCATAAATGAGGCGCACACAGTGCCTTACTAAGATACATTCTCCTGGAAGAAATAACTGATTTGCAGAGGTTAATTTTTCACTTACGTACTGTTTTATCCTCAAACTAAAGCAGATCACATGTACAACATGCAAATGAGGAGGTTTTGACTCTGTTATAGTAAAATATATTTTAACTTTTATTTAAGTTAACTTGCCAGTTTGCAACGCAGCACTGAAGCTCACATAAAAACTGTTTGATTTTAGGGCAATGGCAACATACTTTGTTCCAGTACTTTCATTTATGCTAATAAGTTTGCTGTTCAAATTTGTTCTCAATTGCTCCTACACAAAACATAATGCAGTACATGGGCACTGTAGAATCTAGTCACCAAGCTAGCATCTTATAAAGCACTTGCTACATATAAAACAAATATCTCTTCCTACATGTGATTAGGATTCAGTGTCAAAACATTACTTCGGGTTGCACCATGGATATAACAATATTTTTAATTTTAATTATGTGGGGAAAAACAAAAGTTTTCCTAACAAGCTAGCACAAAGTAGCTGTTAGGTATCTTTGTATTTGTTTTCAAGCCATTCTCTCTTTAACTGGATGTGCCATGCATGCACTTCAAAACCACCTGCATTAACAGTTTTGTGAAAGCAGCAGAACCCTGTCCCATATCCCTATAAAGCTGGCACCAGTACAGATACGTGTACAAAAAAACTGCTAAATGAATGCTAGATCTCCAAGTGGGAGCAGAGCAGACCACAAAGTATGCTGGGGGGGAAACAGAAATCACCAAAACCTACAGTTGAGCTTTACTTCCAAAAACTAACATCTACTCTGAATTAATGGGTATGGGAAACAGGCAAGAACAAAGACTATACTGAGACTCAAATGTGAGAAAAAGCACTGCCCCTTCCTTTTTATTGCATTCCCTGCTCTTGTTAAACCAAGCAATTACCTGCACCACCACAGGTCAGGTTGTACTTTGTCTTCCTGAAACGATCTGGTTAGGTGCCAAAGTGTCAGACACAGTCGGATGGAGGACAAGGCAAGTTATTTCCCTTGTGATCTCCAAATTCTAGAAGGAAAATTTACATCTTCATAAACAAAGATTTACAATTCTTTGTAAGAGTAGATAACAGCAGGACAAGGGAAAATGGTTTTAAGTTGAGGGGGGGAAAATTTAGGTTGGCTATCAAGGGAACTTCTTTACTATGAGTGGTTAGGTGCTGAAAGAGCTGCCCAGGGAGGCTGTGGATGCCCCGTCCCTGGTTAGCCAGGTTGGATGGGGCCCTGGGCAGCCTGGTCTGGAATTAAATGGGGAGGTTGGTGGCTCTGCCTGTTGAGGGGGGGATGGGGTGGAGCTTCATGATCCTTGAGGTCCTTCCAACTCGAGCCATTCTGAGATTCCATGTAGGGAAAGAGGAAATGCGCAAAAGGAAGAAGCAAGGAACCAGGGAGATACAGAGTGGGGAAAGAGACACGCAGAAGGGAAGTTGAGCTATAGTGTAGGGCTAAGGCAGGAACAGAGCTGCTCAGAGTATTGCAGAAGGCTCACAAAGGCTAAAAAAACATGACAGACAGCATCATGTGGTAGTTGGAGAAAACTTCAGTTGGGTATGAGCTCCTAGTATGGCCAAGAAACTCTACCATTTTTATCTTCCACGTTCCTTAATGCTTATATACCACACAGTTGTGTACTACTGTAAACCAAATACTGCAAAGCGAGTAATGCATTTAAGTCAAAGGCGGAGATGAGAATTTGAACTGCTCATGAAACTGCATTTGCTTCTGCAACAGGGGAGCTCCATGAGTATTCTCCAGGTACTAAGGCAGCGGGACTATGAGCCTCACAGACATCAGCAGCATCAGACAAGTGCGCCATATGGCTGAGATCAGGGAAATTCCCACAAAATACATGCCAGCCAGTTCCCCCACGCTACAATCATGATCCAGGGAAACAGGAAGAGCGGAGACAAAAGGAAGCGCCTATAATTCCATGTTATCCTGGTAGGCAAAAGCTGCTGCGCTACTTTGGTGGAGCCAACATCAAAATCAGTGCACTATTACTTACATGCTTCGTCTGGACAATCCGAAGGCCAGAGGCCAGCACAAACAAGGAAGCACCTTCACATACGTGCACGGATACGTGCCTGTATACGTGGAGATACACAAGTGCAAAGTGCACGCAGGTACACACACGTACACTTACACATACACACATCTAAGGGCAAAGCAACCGCTCTCCTGAGCAGCAAACAGCGCGCTGCTTGTTACGGTCCGATCCTTAATACCGCCTGCTGTAACATCAGGACCCTCCCAATTTTACGTCGATTCTCTTTAAAACTGTCGGACAAAGGCTTCAACAGGCCCGCGCTGCCTCCCCCAGCAGCGTCCCCTTTAACCCTCAACCCGGCGCACGGCTGCACGGAAAGCTCCGGCACTCCGGGGCACGACCCGCCCCTCCGGTACGCCGCCCCCCGCGTCGCAGCAGGGCCCGGGCCGCCACTCACTTCGATCTCCGGCGACCGACCCGGGGCGGCGCTCACGAGGCCGCACGGCGCTCCGCCCCGCGGCCCTTCCGCCAGCCGTCCAACTCGGAGGCCGCGGGGACGACGGGAACGGACCGTACGAGAGCGGCACCGCGAGCCCTGGCTTCGGCTCCCCCGCCTCTGTGAAATAAAAGATGCAATAAGTGGCGGGAGGACGCCGGCGGCCGCGCACCACCCTCACGGGAGCACTCGCAGCCGGCCCCGCGCACGCGCTCTCGCCCGCTCCGCCCGGCCTTCCCCTCAGGGAGCGACGCGAGCGGCGGCGTTTTTGCCCCATGTCGTCTGCGCGTTTCCCAGACGCGTCCTCGTTTTCAGACGTAACGGCCGAGAGTCACGTCACACCGCCCTCATCTAACGCGGAGCGTGTTTGACGCCGGGCTGGCGGCAGGGAGGCGGGCCGAACCGGGGCAGGCGCTTCCCGCCTCACACAGAGAAGTTCGCGCCCCCGCTCACCCGCTAAGCTGCCCCGTTCACGGACGGCTTTACGAGCGGCGCTCCGGCGGGACCGGCAGGCCGCGGCACGGAGCTGCGCTGAGCGCCCCGCCCTGCGCGCCTACCCCGGGCCGCTTCCGCCCGGCCGCCGCGCCGCCCCGCTGAGAGCGGCGGCCGTCAAGCAAACGCGGGCTGGTTGGTTTGTCGGCTGTCGGCCGCGCTGAAGGGCAGCGGCTCGTCACGAACGCCGCAGTCTACTTAAGCGGGCCCGTATTTCACAGCTGGGAAAGCAGAACCAACTCACGGCGCCGAACTGCGGCTACTCATTTCTACTAACCGTGGTCACTTCGGGCAGTGCAGGCGGCGGGAATTTGTGTAATTAAAGATAACGTTATCTTGAGTGTACGTACCGACTATAAAAAAAAATGGATTACAGGGGAGAGCTGTAGAAAAGTCACAAAGTCGAATAGCCTAACTGGTTTGTTCCAGATTTCAGCCTTTAGTCCTCAGTTTGCAGGCACGTTGTGGTAAATCTAGAGCATCTAGGGACAATTTGATGTGCACTGAGCAAACTACATCCTCTAGGTCACAAATTCAGCATTTTATATAACATTACTGTTCTTGGGATTTCTGTGCTTAAGCTCAGATAACCAAAACTGTCATTATGAAATTACATAATTACATAAAAAGATGTAAGGTTCAGACCTTTTTTTAAAGACACCTTTTGTCAGAAACAACTTCTAATTTCCAGCTGCCCTTGTGTCATCTAATGTGTTTGAAAGAGATACCAAAGAGACAAAACAGAATGCAACGTGATAAACAGAGAACTCCTCACTGACCACCACAAATACTATTTTTAAAGTTTTAAAGTTTGTCAGTGAACTCCACAAATTAAGATCAGCTTACCTTGTTCAGAAAGGAAGTAAGCACATTGGTCTCTTCCTCTAAGAAAACAGAGATGGAAACACTAAGAGGAAAGGTTAGCAATTAAGAAAAACTGAAGACACTTCTCCAGCAGCTAAGTAAATGTCAGCTCTTTTCTACAAAGTGTACTTACATTTCAGGCTCACTTTTCAAGTATAATAATTTCTGTAAATTTAATTTTATTGGAATTGGAACAAAATCACTCCACCAGTGAGCAAAGCAATACACTGGTAACGCACCAACGTTAAGAGAGGTGAAGCACGTCCCACTATCACAGCACTAAGTTCTGGTTAACGATACCAGCTGCACAGCTAATCAGGAGACAGGCTGAGAAACGCAGCTGTGTGCATAAGTCGGTGTTAATACTGTTCCAACTCCTCAGACAACTCAGATCTACTATGGGGGATAAGTACAGAATCTGAGAAGAACAGAAACAATCATCTTCCATCAAAGTCATGCGTTTGCCAATGATCTAAGCATTTCAAAACACACAAGCCTACTGTTCTATGTTCAAAACACGGATTACTCTTCATATCTATGGAACATACCAGCAAAGCTTTTTACAGAAGCATTCAGAAACACTATGAAGAAGTTAAAAGCTATTAAGCAGTCAGTGGAGCTAATGTTAGAATGTCTGACACCCACACGATTCTTTTACTGTAGCTTATGCCAGTTCTTCTGGCAAGACTTCAAGTAACGTTCAACAAGGTGTTCTGCAGAGGCCAACAGAACATACAAAAAATTGTTAAGAAACTGGCACTTAATGTTATCAGTCAGCAGAAGGAGGGAATGTAATGGCAAGGGGGTATATAAAACAAGACTCAAACATGGCATTCCAAATAAATCTATTTTCTTCAGTCAGGGCAATGGTTACGACTCATGCCCTCCTACAGGCAAAAAAAAAAAAAAAAAAAGCTAATAAAACCAAACCAAAACATACATGGTCATTAGTTTTTAAGAAATATTACTACAGTATGTATTAACACTACGACAGTAACTGCTGTTGTAATGTTAATACAAGTACTGGGAAGCAAAGTGGCTGCACCTCTAAAGCCTTAACCGATGTTATCCGCACTTATTCAGGAAGGCAGCAAAAGTGCTCCTCTGACTGCTTGGCAATTGCTTGGAGGTACCACTACAAAGGCCAGGAGAACTAGATGCATCGTAAGAACTGAAGTGCAAGACTCAAAATATATTATTGGAAATATTCCTGTACACAAGAGCTCAAATATTAAAATTGCCAAGAAAATCTGTTTTGCAAAACAATCTTTTATTGTATCCGTGCCACACACACTAGTGAAAAATAACACTCCTAAAAAAAAAGAAAAAGAATGCTACCTTTCCACAACATTTCTTTTAAATAAAGCTTCAAGTACTCTTACATTAGTAAAAAAAAAAAACCAAAAAACAAAAACAAACAAACAAAAAAACCCAAAATAAAAAACAAACCCCCAACCCCTACCTCTATCTGCCCCAACAGGCCACCACAACACACAGTAGATAAAACACAGTGGTTACAAATGTCTTTTTTTTTGTCTGTTTTTGTTGCTTTTTTTGTTTGTTTGTTTGTTTTTGTTTTGTTTTTGTTGTTTTTTTGTTGGTTTTTTTTGTTTTGTTTTGTTTTGTTATTTCTGTGGCAAATGGGGGAAAATGCTTCTATGAAAAAATACTGAGTGTGCTAGGAAATTGTCACAATTTTATTCCACGTGGATACAAATGATTATACTTGAAATTGAGGCTGTGGTGGCTTGAAATTATGTAACAAAATAGAAAAATGGAAAACTAATATCCCCTACACCCTGTTTTTAAAGGCAGGCACTACCAAGATTAAGGAGACTCCACAGTGTTGGTAGAGGATAATTACTGTACAAGCCATATAGCTATAATTACCTTAAGACTAAAATAAAATGCTACTGTCCTCCTAAGGCATAAACAATAATATCTGCAAACGATATGTACACATCATACATATTTAAAACAAGACTTAATATAAACAATAATGAACAGTATATACAAGTCTCAATTTTTCTTCACTGTCTTGAAATACAATTTAACTACACAAGTGATGCAGCAACATATATATAAATGTACTTGTAACTCTACAGTAAAGTTTATTTTTAGTGCTTTTACAGCACATCAGTGTAAACAGTTTTACTTGGCTTTGTTTTACATTTTAAAACATTCCTTGTTGTATGTTCAAGATTTAAAGCAATTTTCTAATTCTTCCTTTTCACAGAAAACGAAGATTCTGGATGCTGTATAATCATAAATAATTCATAAAATTAAATACATTCACTAAAAAATAAACTACAAAGTAAAAAAATGAAAAATAGATATTTATTGGAAGGGAAAAAGAACCATTTTCCCGAGTAGAGCTCTGGTGGTTGAATATTCAGTGCGTTTTGATATATTTTAAATTGCTATTGCACTATAACACCCCTTTCTTTGAAATTCTTTGGGTGTGCTTCCCTGTTCTACCTAAATTAGTTTGTTAAAACATACAAACCAAGAACCAAGGGGCCATGGTTGCTGTAGGAGTGAAGCCTTTAGAACTAATATCACTTTTTTGTGATACTTCTAAGGAAGAAGAACAGTCATCAGTTATGTAGGAGCCTTGCACTTTCATGTTCACATTGCTGGTCTTATCAGTCCTCATTTAAGGGGAAAAATGAGTTCTGGTAACTTCAGCTCAATTTGAAAATCTCTGTCCATTTCTTTTCAAAATACTTCCTCATGTTGTGGCCAGCCCTGCCTATGTCAGAATCATCTTCATTAAAGGTTTCACAGTTGTCAAAAACAAGCCTGACATCTAGCGAAAATGCTTCAACGTTAGGGTACCTGAAAAAAAGAAAAAGGTGAATCATTTCTGGAACAGTTAAAGGGGAAAAAGAACACAACAAGGAACTCTGCTAGCATCAGTGAATCTACAACCAGTTACAGAACACGCAACGAATGTTCAATGAATAAATTGAATTTATCTAATTTTAGTATGTTCAGGAAAACAAACCCTAGAACAAGCAAATTCTTCTTCATTACTGTTTTTGTTACTTTCCAAAAAATAACATTAAGATAAAATTTCAAGACTGAACTGGGCAACTTTTTAATTTATTAGCTTGCCTTTTCGCTTCAACAGTTTTCTAGCTAAAATACTATTGGTATTTTCCACTTATTCATTCTTTCTTGGTCTCAAGTCCTTTCAAAGGGAGCGCTGAGTGTAGCCGCATTTACCCAGAAAATGAACAACCAGGTACGTAAAGGGCTGCCTGGATTAATCCCATTCCTTTGTCTTTACTCTTTTTCTTATCCTGAAATAGTGTTCCAGTACACAAAGGAACTATTAAAAAGAAATGCAGTACTATTCTCAAGTCTCAGTTCTCAGTAAGCACACGTGGAGCACTGAAATCTCGGGGCAAGTAACATTAAGTTTACTTACTGTCCGCTGGTTAGCTTGTCTCTGATGGTGGAAAAGTCCATAGGCTTTTTGATAACTTTCTTATAACCGGGAACAAGTTTCAAGTTTACAGGAAGTAAGAAAGGCCAAGCATCCTCATGAGTTTCCAATTCTGAGAGAATCATGCTGAATAAAATAAGGATTTAAATAAGAAATGTTAAACTTTGCATAATCAGAAAAGCTGTTCACTGTTCCATAAATTCATCGCATACTG